TATGTTCATCACTATTTTGAAATTACACTAACTTATTTGGGCTACCCTAACTCTTGTTATTTTAATATTTTGATAATTGTATTTCAGTACAAATGTTTTATTTTGTGTATTTAAGACATTCTTCTGAAAAGGGGTCCATCAGCTTTACCAGTTTGCCAAAGGGGTGCATGACACTCAAAAAAGTTAAAGGATCCTGTCCTGGAGCTTTTGAGAAGGTGGGACATGCAGGATTTGGTGCTGCTCAGATATGGAATGGGATGGCCAGTGAGGGAGGGGTAACCCTCACCTCTCTGGCTCCTGTCTATTTCCTCTTCTAAATCTTCTCCTTGGCATCCAAAAGTCTACTTATCTAACCTCAGTGTTTCACGCTGCAGTTGAAGCCCTTTTCATCTTGTTCTCTGCTTTAGGGGGGCTAGATAAGGAGACTGCCATGAAAGGGGGGGATTAAGTCACAGGCAGCAACATTAAATTGGTCCAGGAGGATTGCTCAGGTATAACTACAATCCTTCAAGCTGCAGACTAAAGCTCTTGTCTACTTTTGTGTTCCCCAGGAGAAAATGCAGCAAACTTCACCTACAAGTTCCTAGTGTAACTTACCCACAGCAATGTGATTTAGCAGGTACCCACTTAAGGGTTGTTTTCTTTTATTTGCACACATCTTATACTTTCACAAAAGATTAGAATTATAAAAAGAGAGGCCAGGCATAGTGGTTCATGTTTGTAGTCCCAGCTACTGGGAGGCTGAGGCAGGAGGATTGCTTGAGCCCAGGAGTCTGAGGATACAGTGAGCTGTGAACACATCGCTGCACTCCAGCAGAACCTGAATCTGATCCCGCCCTCAGATCTATCAGTTTACGGGAAATCCAGGGCATGGAGCACCGTGCTAAACAGCAACACGGGAATGCAGTCAGCAAAATTCAGACCCTGGGAAACCCTAAGGGAAACACCAATGCATGGGTCCTGTTTGGATCCCGTTCAAACAAACCAACTGTAAAAACACATTTATGAAACAATCAGGAAAACCTGAACACAGGCTGGGTACTTGATGATAGTAGGGAATTTTTGCTGATTTTTTAAAGATGTGATAATAGTATTGTGGTTATTTATTTATTTTTTTAAAAAAGAGTTCTTACATTTGAGTGATCCATTCTAGGGCATTTA